ATTTAAAAATAAAATGAACACGCGAGAACTACCTGACGTGTGATGACGAATGATGACGACAAATATTTTTTGGCTAATTTTGGAAGCGGTTATCATTCCACTTATTTAAATGTGGAGTTCACTGCGTCTGCCACAGCGCTGCTGCAATCTTGCTTGACCGGTTTTACAGTTGTAAAAATTTGTAAAGTCTCATTTTGGCGCCCTGTACCTTGGCGCCCCCCTCTACGCCTCTGTCACCATCTCTGAATGCCAATGTCCACGGAGAAGAAGGTGAAAAGGATCAATGTGATCCACACATATGTTTGCTTTGTTCACAAGAGTTGACAAGACGATCCAAGTCGTTACAAACAAAGGCATTGGGCAAGAAAACATAGTGGAGAGAAATTATATGTCAGTCATTGTGCCAATACATCATGTGAAGGCTCAAGCATTGTTAAAATAAAAAAAAGATTCAACAAAGGGAAGAGCAGATTGCAAATGAAGAGACTGTTAATACAGTCAATACAGATCTGTCATCGTCATGCACGTCCACGATCCATTTTTTCTGGTCATGAGGTATATGCAAATGAGGATGACAGCACTCAGACCAGTACTTCTTATACTGGAATGTTATATTTCCAAATGTATTATGCAAATGTATGTATTTAATTCCAAATGTATTGGTAACTAAGGATAGCAACACAGCAGGGAAAATACAATCCATATAGCAGATTTTTTGACAAACAAGAATCGCAAGAGATTTATGACGTATCAGACAATCCTATTGCTAGAATTGAGGATGGTATCAACCAAATTCTAGTCAGATTACAGGCATTAAACATGGATGGAGATGTTAGAAGAAAATCAAGCCAAAATCCCATAACAACTGAGATAGAAGCTGTTAGCGATGCTGGTGTGAAGGCTGCCAATTTGGTGGAATTGTCCAATTGTGAACAAATACAAGTCGATATTCTGACAGATGGATGTCGCGTAACCTGTGTTCCTTGCCACGAATATATCAAAGGAAATCCTCTTTTGAAAATGCAAGTGATTGCTAATTGTAGAATACAAAGTGTATAGATGTAATCTGATTAACACATTTCCTTAACTTTTAGGAATGGTCAAAACAAATCCTGGGGCTTTGGTCTGATCTATGATGTTGCTCGGACTGAAAAGTACTCACAAGGATCCAACCAAGAATGGTACAGTTTTAAGAACAGAATCCTCGAACATGTCAACTGTAGTTCAACGCGAAATGCTGGTCAATTCAATATGAAGGCCTTACAGTATCATTTGAGTCAGAAACGAAAAGCAAACATTGACACTAACGTTAAGCTGGTGTCTGAAGGGATAAAAATATGTAAGATCAAGGCTTTATCGTACGAGTCAATGCTAGCATTCCTTTCCTTTGTGGAGTAGATGTTGGGACTATCAGACATGGAAGGTTTGATTTCAAGGGGTTTTTTTGTATCGCAGGGGTTTTTTTGTATCGCAGGTGTTTTGTCATCAATATCAGCTGTCTATCTTCCAACATTATAGAAAGCAGTTTCCACATAAAATAAAGGCTGCATATATCCACGTCATAAAGCAAACGGCATCATATCTACAAAACCTTTGGTAAATACTGGCTTGCCCCCACTTTTCGTTGCAATAGACAAATCTAATCCTCACAGAGACACAAATCAGGCTATAATGATATTCTTACCGGTGAATGGTAAACTGCGATGCCAATTGATGCTCCACTGGTGTACGAGTACAGAGATGCAGATTCCGATAACGAAGACACTATTACAGGAGGTTATGGAGAAGATCTTGCTGTACAAGTAATTGAAATTTTAAAACGACCATTGCAGCTAACTAGCTCGGATTTAAGGTTGTTGCGAGGTAGGATGTTATTATGAGAGCTGACTGAGTCGATGTGTGAGTAATTTGCTAAACATGTTCTCCATTTGCTTACTTTCATTTTCTAATTGCTTCTAGGTGTTCATGCTGATGGACAGTACCAAGCGAGTACATTCCAATTTTATCAAGCTTATCAAACGCTCTAACCGCTTGCACACATTATTTGGAGGTGGTCGAGGACATGCTGAGTACAAGACGTATTCCAAAAGTCAAGGATTAAAAGTGCTCGAAACTGTGACATATGCAACCACGCGATTTTCCAGTTCTGCTTTCGATCAATGGAAGAAAATTTACAATAGTTATCTTGCTTTGGTTACGGCATACAGTGCGAAGATAAAAAAGGATGATTGTGAGGAGACAAAATACCAACTCAGAGGTCAAGATTTTGCGATAAATCTATGTGGAATAGTTGATGTGTTTCAGCCAGTTGTTTCGTTAATGATCAAATGTCAGAGCTTAAACGTGCCTCCCTGGAAAATTGTTGCTTGGTTCCGAGAGTCATTGATATCTTGGAGGATGTCAGGACAGAATTAAAGCGACTTAAGGACAGAGATGTTGTAAAACCAGCTGAAAAGTTGTTGCCAAGACTTGCAAAACATTGGCAAGAATTAACAAAAGAAGTTGAAGAATGTTCGTTTCAAGGAATACAAGTCTACTAAGGATGGCTCAGTAGTCAATGAGAGTGAGCAACTCCTTGAAGGACCGATCCACAGACAAGACTGGGAAACAACATAAGAGAGACTATAACTTGGGAGGCACGATCACCAAATGATTGCCTAGATGGTCTTTATCAACTCACAGAATACATTCCAATGTGTCTGGCATCTCGCTACAAAACATTAAGATAGGAAACATCACTAAGTTAGAAGCTGTGTATGACATTGAGGGACTAACAAAGCTTCTTTGTCATTTTTCTCACGCGAATGGGCGGATCAAAGTCAGCAGGGCTGAAAGACATCTTTGAGATCTTCGTGGGAAAAGAATGTTAGCCAATTTTTTCAAGTATATTTTGGGAATATTTATCTTGGCCTTACTATGTGTAATACCTTTATCACATGACACTCTTACCTAATCTTTCTACATCTTCATGTTTTAGGTATGTTTGCCAATTGCCTCATGTCATACAGCAACTAGACGACCAACCATTACTGAAACTGTTGCCGCATAACAATGATAGTGTCTTGGAGCAATTTAAAGAAACTGTAATGAGAATGGTCTGGGAAGGTCTTGGTAATTGTTGTTCGAGTATATGTTCATCAATGAAAAGGACCAACCAGTGACAGAATTTAAAAAGGACCAGCTAATTTCCCTTAAATGCATTGAGGATCCTGCACTAGATTTGTGGTTTACTCTGAAATTTTCTTCGGGAAAGGCAGTGAAAGCAAGGATCAATGAAGAATTTGTGTACACCAGCATGTACACAAATGAAGATATAATAAAGTCAATTGGCCAAGAAATGCACATTGCCCTTGACGTAGCTCTTTCCACAAGTGGTTGTGAGGCTATAGTAGAAGGATTTTATAGTCTTATGTGTACTCACAAGAAAACTGGAGGCCAACCTATTGAGGTTTTGGTTCATAGATCTATAGTAGATTGGTGCGTTCCCCATCCCGTTTCATGTCCTCGTACCATGAGAGCCATTGTAGAAATTTATACAAACGGTGATGAAGACTATAAGCTACCAAACCATCGGCTACCATATTTTAAAGAAGACAGAGCTTTAAATTTTGAAGTGAGCAAAGTTGTGGATAGAGTGAGGCATGAGCCTCCTCAATGTCCACATGTTTTGCATGAAAATTATTTTGGTGAATTAGGAGTTGAACTCACTCAAGGATTTATAGTTTTTAAATGCGACATTTTATCTTTTAGTTTTTACATTATCTGTACACTGTAAATGTACACTGTAATTGTAAATGCTTGTTGCCATTGCAAACTATTCAACAAACAAGCAAGAGCTTAAACAAAGTTAACTACTCGTTATTTCAGGAATACTCAGCACCGCATCATTGAATTGATGCCACGCCCACAAATATGGCGTAATTTTACCTTAAATATGCCTGGTGTGCAATAATATTATTAAAAAAAAATCTCCGTTGTGCAGAAGACATGCTTTCCAGCCTGGGGCCATTTAGCATGAAAGTTGAAGTAGTCACGATATAAAGAATTGTGATATATATTTCTGTTACTAGGAGTTACTATCGCAAGGGAAGTGCTGCCCCTCTCTCCACCTAGTAAGCTAAAACAGTTTCCAAATTGCTATTGCATGTTTTCCACCATTTATCATCTGCCATAAACAATACAATACCCGAATGGTCAAAATAAAACACAGCAAGAAACTGCAATAACTTGTATACTTTGTCATTGCATAAAGACAAGCTAATTGTGTCATCTTTTATTTTCAAATTCTCATATAAATCAATTTATAGAAATACATGCAAGAAGTAACACTGTATGTATGTATAATTATGCCAATTTCAAAATGGAATAATTGGATGAACAGTTTTCCAAAGCTCATTTTTACAAAAATTTGCATATTGTCATTTAGAACTCAGCCAATAACAATTAAATCATGTTAACCAGAGCTTAGATGAAATTTTCAGAATTTTATTCACTTGGTTGCCAACAGCACAAGATCAACACATCCATCAATAATAACAGTTATATGGTGTCATATATGTATCTCTTCACTCTCCTTGTGCATCTTTGTTAGTATATCGTTTGTTTTCCCCTGGATTCATGTTACTCAGTTGTTTTTACCGAGGAATCACTTTTATACACATAAAAACTTGAATGGTACAGTCGTTACGGTCATTATTCATGGCATTTCCATTATTGGCGTAAATCGTAGTATTGTAAAAGTCTGTTGTTGATTCGTCAATTAATAACACAGATGTAGAAATCTACAAAAAAGATAGTATTTAAAAACTCTTGCATTATCATAAAAAGGGGAATATGAGAAAGCAAGATAATAAGCATGAAAAAATAACTTACCTTTATTGTATTTGCTGATGATCTTACTTACATACATTATACACACAGTGATTATGGCCATGAAATTGATTAGTTGTAAAGGACTGATTACTCATTAAATTAAGTAAAGTAACCGTAAAATTTGTTCATTAAAATGCACTGCTATAAGAAGTCTTTGCTAAACTACTATCTAATTGGTCTTCCTCTTCAATCCTGTATTGTAAATTAGCTGATGATTTCAAGCTTGTTAATCGCTCATAAGTCATTGGTTCAATGACACAAGATAAAATATTTTACTCTGCTTATTGCAGCGTACGAAACTCCAGTTCTTTCAGACTTGCCAATATCTATCCACGCTTTAGGAAGTTTTAGTCCTTGGCTCTTGTGTATTGTTAGAGCCCAAGCAAGTCTTAGAGGCAGCTGTTGCCTCTCATGAAATCCAGTTTCTAATTGTGAAGAGACTGTGATTGGACATATTGGAACACAAAATGGTTTGTCTACATGGAAAGCAGGACCTCTATAGTTATCAAACTCAATTATGACTGCAATAGGCAAGTCTGGTGGTTGATGGTTGTTGTGAAAAATAATATCAACAACTTTTCCCGTAGCTCCATTACACAGGCCTACAGTTGACCACAAATTCATGGTTAGCATAACTCTGGCACCTTTACCCAGAAAAACAACTGGTTCTAAGCCAGACATGTCATCAGAAGGAATTTTTTTGTCCTTTCTGACAAATGGCGAGCGTTAATTTGTGCAATTGGTTGGTCAAGCAAAGTCTCAACAATAACTCTCTAAAATTGATTTGTGCAAGTGCCATACCTTGCACTCGTTGATTCTCTGTAAGTTTGACAACTTTATCAAACATTTGATATGCTTGAAAGCCTTTTTCACCAACTGCGTTAGATGGTTTTGCATGATAAAGAGGTTTATCAGCCACTGGTGGTAACTGACCTGGATCGCCAGTTAAAAAATAATAAAATTCCTCCAAATACTTCAGCATAACAACCAGTTGCTTGTTTGCAAAGTTTGTCTATCCAACCAAAGTAACTTGGCCAAGCATAGAATACTCATCAATGATGTATTGTATATAAATCAAATTCTCTTGTAATCTACACAAGCTTTGTCGTGTTAGGTCTTTCTTAACTCCTGATCCAATTGGTAACTTCAATAAGGAATGGATTCCTCGTATATTATACATAGCTTTTCCAGTTGTGGCAGCAATAGCACACTTGCTTTGTAATTAATTTCGAATTCCATTGATTAGGTAACTCTTACCAGTCCTGCTACACAATTTATAATCAAACACAATGGCTCTTTATCTAGCTTTGTATCATAAAATGAGATTTGACTATGTCATAGGCATTTTTGCATTTCACTGTAAGTGTCAATATCAACATCATATTGCTCATCCACAGAGAATTCTTTCATGTTTGTTTTTAACCATGATGACAATTCATGGATTTGTTTTTCAGAGTAATTATCACTGTCAGCATGCCAGTCATTCACAAATTCTGGCATTTCATCAGATTGGTTAAAAGGTGTATGAAGGTCTGATATAATCATGCATTCCTCATGAGTTACCCTTGGTTGTTCAGAACATTCACCTTCCGGTTGTTCACTTTGAATGACAGCTTGTAACTTCTCAAACCAATCAGGAACATTTTTCTGTGCATAAGGTGTTTGCGAAAAATCTTGCCAAGGGTTAAGTCTCATCAGTAGAGTTTTCTTCAACATCCCAGGCATTATTTTGAGACCTTCTCCATGGTTGGTACTTGCAATGGAGTCCAAAGTTTTGACCTTTTGGATTTAGAGAATATGTTGGAAATATTCTTGGTACAACAATTTATAGCAACTTTGCAAGTTTGTCTTTTACAACTTTGAATTTTTTCAAATTCTAATTTTGTATTGGCACTATGTTCTAATGGAAAATGAAAGCAACATTTCAATTCTTCTTTGTTTGCCTTTTCCTGAGACAGAAACTTTGCTACATTTAGTGTGTTGTTGAACCATGTTTACAAGATCTTCATAATCTGATTGTTTTTCATATTCAGGGATATCGTTATGAGGTTGCTGACATGGATGAACCTTGGGTCTTATCCAAATGTCTTCATCTGGTGGATTTGGATTGATGGTTTGTAATAACCAATCAACATATTGACATACAGTCTCAGCAGCTCTGTGTCCAGCTTCAATGTCCTGGTCTAGTTCTGTTGTATCAGAATAATCATTTTCTTCCTTAAACTTTTGTGCTAAGAAACCTTTTAAGGCAGTCTTAGTAAGTTGACACAAACCTGCGTCGTTTTAGTTAGCAGTTCCATGACAATGGATACTACCTCTACCTTGATACTCATATCTAAACTAGTGACATTTTGCACAAAGTGTTTCATAAAGCCAGTGTTTAATAAAGCTTTCTAATCTTTGTGTAAAAAACAATCCACAAGATGACAATTTTTTAACATTTTCTCGCCTTGTCTCATTGGTGAACATTAGCATTAAATAATGCATGGAACTCTGGCCAATGCATATCAGCCGAGGAGAAAGTAAAAATAATGTTGATGATCCAACACTTGTAATAATGGCTTTAGCTCCTCTTAAACTCTATTCCAGTAAGCATTTGAAACTGCAATATTCCCAGCATATCTGGAAAGTTTAGACATAAAACATTAGCACTGCTACTGGCAGCCATTACACGCAGTTCATCTATGGTGAGATGAGCTTCACCTGGATTTTGCTCAGGAAAATTCCACTTTGTTGTAAAATTTGTTTTCTTTGAAGCATATTAAAAGCCCAATATGAAAATCTCGGGTGATTTTCAAAATGGTATACCCATTTACCATCAATAATTTCAGCAAACTTTAAAAGATGCTTTATTCGTTATTTTAGAGGAACTTCTCTTAAAATCTCTTCATTAGTACAATCACCTTTCCCATGGGGAAATAACGTTGGAAAAGCCATTGTGGCTAAATGTGATACTTGATACTCATTTATTGGTTAACCTTCAACTATAGGCCATAACATTGGGTCATTTGGATTAAGCTTATTTTTGACAGCTTGAACTTCCTGTTGTTGCTGTTCACCAACAAGTAAAAAACTACTCATATCTGTAGATTCATTGTAAACAATATCCTCAGAAGAATTATCAGTACAAGGACCCATATCAGGTCAATAGCTAATCTCAGAAGTAATATCATCTGTCTCCACAGTCATAAGCTCTGGCGGTGTACCATTTGCAGGCAACAAACTCATTGCATGATTATTGATTAATATTTCAGAATAATATGGGTTATTGTTCTTCAACCACACTAAAGCATTGTGTACTTTTTTTTTCTTACAATCACATCTTCAAAGGTATTGTCCATGCCTTTAACTTTGATGATAATTACAGCCAAATCTATTGCACTGACTTATGAAAATTGTCCATATTACCTTTACCCCAAGGTTGCTCTTCCAGACAACCATACATAGTTGTGTCAAAATAATCAAATAATCTTGTTGATTTATTCTCTGTTGAGATTGTGACCATATTGTTGCCCACTTTTGTTGTTTAGACTGTCTATCTTTCTCAAGTTTGGCTTGCCATTCTAAGTCAGTTTCACTGACCTCTTTTGTCGTTTAGACAGTCTATCTTTCTCAAGTCTATTCTGTTTAGCAGAGTCAGTTTCCTCTGACTGCTTTCTTTTCATGAAATCATTCACTTTTCTAAGTCTGATTTGTTGCTTACTGTCAGTTTCATTACCTATTATAGGCTTTACATTAGTTTTTGTAACATGAATAGGTACTATTTCAAATACATTAACATGTAAGTTATTTGCAAGAGAACACAAAATTGCTCTAACTCCAGAATACCTGTAAATTTTAGGACAATTGCAGTGCCATTAGGATCTGGCATGGCATTAATGTCTCTGGCATGAGAATCAAATAAGTAAAAATAGTTTGATTGCTTTATTATTGCCATCATATAGCCTTCTAATATTAATATAGCATAGCTATGCTTGATGAATGTATTGGAAAGTGCCAAATGAATTTCATAGTAGTGAGACTCAATTTCACATCAGTTATTACAAGACCTTGAAGCTCATGTTCATAATTTATAACCCAAATCAGTTTATCAACGACTCAACTATAATAGGTACTTTGTTGTTTTAACCCCATCGTTAGTTCAATATTTTTTGCAACAACAGGAAGTTCTGTGTTATTGGATGCCTTGATTGGACCTACCTCAATATGTAGTTGAGTGTTATTTTACGCCTTAATAGGCCCTACCTCAATAGGTAGTTGAGTGTTATTTTGTATCTCAATAAGCACTACCTCAATAGGTAGTTGAGTGTTATTTTGTGAAGGGTCAACCATTATGGGTAATTGAAGCATAATTATGCCTGGGCTCTTCCACGACAGGTAGTTTATTACTGTTTTCATTGATGGATTGATTCCTTTCTGTTACCAAAATGGGTAATTCAATTTTCTAAGAAAACATGCTCCCAACACATGCCACACTAACAACTGTAGGTAAGTCATCCACAGACAAAAATTCGACACCAGGTTCCAAAACTATTGAACGGCTATTCAAAAGCTTTTTATACAATTTGTCTCCTTGCAATAACACATTATCTAATGTTGATTTAGATCACTCTGCAATTTGAAATATTTTCAGCACTTAAAACTTCCGATAAACTCTTGAAAGCACATTGCTTACCTCTGGATTGAACATTAAAATGTTCATCGCCTTCATGTAAATTACCATCAATGAATAAATCGCCATTTATTCACTTTTTCTTATGAAACATTTTCTCAACTTTTTCATGTGTTTAATCTTACAATATGCCGATTAAAAAATCAATCCCCCTGTTTCCCTCATGAAGCCTGGGAACGGAAGTGGAAAATCTTTTGTTTCTCAATATATTTTTTGGCCAATTACAATGCATGCAATACTGTGTAAAGCCAGTGAACTCAATAACTAAACAACATATGGAGTTCACGGTGTAAAGCAAAAGTAAACTAAGCATGTGGGATCAAAGTTTTACTTTTCATTCATAAAATTTCATAATATTAGGATGGATGCACATGAAATCAAGGTACAGTAGCTAATTATATTTGTAATTATTAAACAGTTTTGAGTTTTAACTCCATGTTTTCATAAATATAGAAAATAAAGAAGGCAAAGACTTGTTGAGTTATGTTCATACTGTGTTACCTGTCAAACAGAGCAATCAAACCTCAATTTTACAGCTCAACCAGAGATCTAGAGTATGTCAAAATCCGTCGCCGCGACTGATGTTTGAAATTCAAAAATTACCTATTCATATAAATTAAAATTCATTAATTATTCTTACTTTATTATCGCATTTACTTCGTGATAAAAATCCAGATTTATTTATTATTGAAAACCAATGACTAATCCAATGAATATCTCGTTGGTAACCAGATCAGTTGAATTTTAATTGAGCTGGAATAACCGACTGATAAGCGGGGTGGCTTGACTGGTTCCACTGATAAAGTGGTCTATGAACCCCAAAAACGCTTATTTTATTGGTCAATGGCCAGATCAGTCGGCAGTCTGGAATGGTCTCGACCGATAAGAGGGGTGGCCGGACGTATAAGGGAGTCCAATTGCTATCTTACAATTGGTTCATTTCAATTTTATTGTGATTGATTTGTGGATTTGACTGATAGCCAACTGAACTAACATAGTCAAGCTCACTGTCTGAATTGAATGTTTGATCGTTTCATAGTAATTTTTATAAGCATGATAGAAACTAAACTACAATCAAATGGAATTTATGGAAATCTTTTACAAATTCATATATTGACATGAATGCTGCTGTCCAAACTGTGAATTTTTTCCAGAGGGTGAAAAATTTATGGATGAATTGTAAATGCTTGGCAAAGACGATCTCGTGAACGACATTTCAGTCATTGATGTTCAAAGAGAAGCCAACATTGTTTTGAGTTTTATCAGCAGAAATTTACATCCAAAATCGTAAGTAAAGGACAACTGAAGTATATGCATGAATGTAAAATATCAAAGTCAATTTATGTGAGTGTG